CACATGCAAGTTTTATCATGCATTATCTTCATGTGGTTGTTAAGTGCAAACTATGTTCATTTTTTTGAAGATTGTGTTTGTGTTAAATTTCATTCTTTCTGCTTCTAGAAAGGTGTACCACAAACCAGCTATGCCAAAAAACAACAACAACATCATCATCATCATCATCATCATCATCATCATCATCATCATCATCATTTCAGCCATTGTCTATCCACTGCAATATGAAGGCCTCTTTTGCATGTTTCTAACCCATACAGTCCTGAGCTTTCTTTTGCCAATTGGGCCCACAATATTTGCTGATGTCATCGATCCATCTTCTCCAAGGCCTTCATGGACACTTTTTATCAAGTGGGATCCATTCTATCACAGCCTTGGTCCACCTCCCACCAGTTCTTCTTATGCCAGAAATACAGTGTAATAATTATTCTCAAGCATTCCCTATATACATATATACTGTAATAAAAAAATAAAAAAGACACCAAGTTACCTGGTACGTACACCTTGGCTTGAAATGGTGGATTTCAGCTCCCATATCATTATTCTTCCATCACTGACTATAAGAGCTACAGAATTTTCATTCACTGGGCAGCTCACCATACTAAATGGGCGAACAGTCTTGGTAACCCTAATGGCATCACACTGACTTCGTAAGTCATAGATGAGTTCCTGAATGGGATCAGGATCTGTAAATGTTGAAATGTAAGATATTTGCAGCTATTAGTCCTTAGAATTAAATGCAGTCATGTTCCTCTTTTGCTTTTCACTATAACATTAATATGACATGAACTCAAACTATTTTGTAATATTGATGTCAGAGGTTGGATAGTTTTTAGCAGAGTAAGTTAATTTGCCATACACCACATTATGAGGAATAACTGAATATAATAAAAGACTTAGTAAACATTGCTAGAGACTTAAATATAGGAATATACAATGTACATTATCACAGCATATATAGGCTGTGCCTTTTGATTACTGTCCAAATTCATGTATTTCTATATCTGTATTCATACAAATCTTTATTATATTGGATTATCAGCGTGTTATCTGTATTAAATAATGAAATATCATCACATTAAAATTATACTAATTTTTTAATTTTTAATTTCAGCTGCAATCTAAACAATCATGTAATCTGAATAACAGTGAAACTAACTCTCAGTTAAAACATAAACTCCTAGTTTCTGATGCAAGCATATGAATGCTGACTTACCTGCTGAGTCTTCATTTGATACAGCACTTAAATTAGTGGTAGATCTGCGAACTCTCAGAGTTATACAGCCATTTTCATGTAGGCAGAACAATCCATCACGCTGGCCACAAGGAATTACCTAGACAAAGATATAGAAAAAGTGTCTGAAAGTAACACTTTTAATATAAATTTAACGGAAATTAATGAATAGGAATTGCCATAGTTGTATAAAGTATTTCTACATTGGATCTTGAAACCGAATGGTCCAAGCTATCCTAAAACTCACCTATAGCTCACCAGTTTCACTTTAAAGTCTTAAGTTTAACTTAACTTTGCATTTTAAGGAATAGCCAGCCTACTTTTCCAGTAGTTTCAAATATCCTTATATATTCCTTAAGCAATACTTTTATAGGTTATTTGTAAAAGAGAAAATAAAGAATGAACAGTGAATTATAAATATATTTAAAAATAGAACATTGCATTTGAATTTTATATTGTTTATCATCAACGCTAAAATGAAAGGGCATCCAGTGATACTATTTTATCAGGCTATTTCCCTTAATAATAGAAACACAATACATATGTCAGGAGTTGGCAGAAAATCCCTTTAATGTGAATGATATATTACTACAGGTGGTTACTACAGGGAATTGAATTGCCTCCCTCCTGCATACAGACAGTTCCTTCAAAGGCTACAGAATGAAGTTCAGATCTGACCTCCATTTCTGCAGCCCTTTGGAGGAGTTGCCTTCCCCTTTGGAGTGCTGCAGAAATGGAAGTCAGATTTTCAGGATCTGAGCTCCTCTTTTGCAGCTCTTCTGGGGAATTCCACTCCATCTGTGGAAGAGGAAGGTTGGAGAAAGGGAACTCATGTTCTAGATTTCAAAGGGCTACCTGCAGTGATAGGGCAACCTCAACTCCACATGAAGCTGAAATTCCCACCCAGCTGCTATTCCTTCTTGGCAGGCAGGCCTTTCATACTCAAAGAGATGCAGGATAAGCTCAGATCAGCTCCGCAGCAAGTTTGCAACACAGATTTTCTGAGGAAACCATCAGGGAAAACTGCAAATGGCAATGAAATCATTGCAGACTGCTTTGCAACTCAACCTAAGTGCAAACAGATCACCAAGCATCCAAGATTGTGATCATGTGACCACAGAGAGGATGTGGGATTTTATGAAGGCCAGAAGTGCTTTACAAGTTGTAAACAAGTTGTAAAGCACTCTTTCTAAGGCGGTCATAACTTTGAACAGTTGTTAAACAACCAGTTGCAACTTAAAATGCTAACAATGACACGCTATCAAATTATACGTACATTAAACAGTAAAAATATTTAGTGTAGGAAAATTCTATATTATACAGTACTGGTAGATTCACTCAATTCAACTCTGTGAAAATATATCCAACTTTTTTCATTTTGGAAACACAACACAGCCAAAGCAGAAAACATAATTANTGTAGCTTAATTTCACCACTTATTTTCTTCTGTTTTCAAATTTAATTTAGCTTTAATTTTTTTGGGGGGTAGTCTCTTTTATATCAATAAGATTTCCTCACCAGATGGACACACTTTCTCTTTCCGCTTTCCCCCCCGTTCTGGAGCTGTCCCAACTCCAGCAGCTTTTGGCTGCGCTTCTGTCGCCAGCAAGAAGAGATTCTCTTGCTGGATCAATCAGGGACTTTGCGGTGTCCCTGAGATCAGCAAGACGTACTCTTTCCTGTCATGGTCTCTTTGGGATGTTTTAGGTCCAAAAGGACCGCCAGCAGCAAAAGTATTGACTGCAATCTCAGAGCTCCGATATCGCACACCGTGTTGTTGCGACGTCAGCTCCTGTCCCCCACTAAATGAACTGTTGTAAGTCGAGGTCTACCTATATTTGCATATAATTTATTGAATTTTTCATTAATAGAAATGTTCATGAAATGTTTTCTTTCTGTTTCAGGACTTGGTACTTCTCAAGGATATAGCTATTTTTTCTCCATGAAAGAGTGGGCCCTGCTGGATTGTAAGCAGAAAGTCCTACACTGAGTGGTCATGAAGGAAAACGCAAGGAATATGGCCTCCGTCGGTAAGGGATTTTCTTTCCTCTGGCTTGCAAAGGTGATGGAACTGAGAAGTTGCTTGGTTTCTAAGATGAAATGCTAGTCTTATTGTGTACAGTTGAGAGAGTTCTTAACTGCATTTTTATTTCCATGTGGTCTGTGAAGTAGGCTAATCCATCCACATTGCCTCCAGGAGGAGAAAGATCTTTTCCCATGCAGTTTCTCATCTTAGTCTTGTGATCCTGTTCGTTTCCTTTTATCGATAGTGGAGTTGCTGCTATGAGACCTGTCCCAGTCCGATCTCTTAAGAAAGAAAGACTCTCAACTTCATTTAATTGAAGGGATGGGTTCTTTTAGTAGAAGATGTTGGCTGCAATAGTCAGGCTAGAACTAAATTTTTTGCGCCCAAGATACTAAAAGTTTCCCCTCATCCCAGCCCTCCTCCCATGACCAATCTGCCTTCAGCCGATAAGGGTCTACCTAGGTGTTCTGAGAACGATGAGATGTTTCGGGCAATCCACATTCTTTTCAGGGTGCATGGTTTTGAGTGCTGGTACAAACTCGTTTGGAGCTTCTCTGTTGTTCATTAGCTGTCATTTTCTCTCTCCCTGTTTCCCATCACTTACAAATACAGGTTGATTGCCCATTTGTCCCCCTCTTATTTCCTAGCCTTTAGTGTCAGGATGTCAGCAAGGCACCAAGCCGAAAATGGCAGATGTGACAACTGCTTATAAGAGTGGCACTTAAGAGGTCCAGTGGTACACAGGGCTTATCACAGGGATGTAGCTGATAGTTAGGTGGACTGTTTGATAATCAGATTTTCCAGAGATGGGACTTCCAATTCTGGTTGCTCTCCCACTATTTACATGGAGACTTTCATTTTGAACAGCTAGGAGAGAATAAAAACTGGTATTTTCAAGGGAAAATTTCCTCAACAGATAAGGCAAAGCCTAATGACATAAATCAGCATTTCTACCTTCTCAGATTAAATATCAGTAAACCAGTTCTCTCTGATCATCCATTCTGAACAAAGCCAAATTAGAGATACAACATTGATGCTTAATACCTTTCACTCCTCATTTTGTATCAACTTTTCTTTTTCTTCCTTCCCATGTAGGTGATGGATTGAAGATAGAGGATGCTGGCCAAGAGTTGGCAACACCTTTTCTAACAGCTAAAAAGGAAGTTGTGGAAAGGATGAGTGAAAAGGAAAGGCCTAAGGAAAAGGAGTTAAAGGAGGAGTTGGGAAAATACTCTAGTTCTCAATATGCAGATATCAACGTTTTCTTGCACAATGATGATCCCCAAGAAAAAGCAACATGTCCAGAGTGCGGAAAAATACTCCGAGATGAATTGGGATTATGTGACTGTTATATAAGCCATTCCCTTACGTTTCATAAAAACATTCCCAAAACAGAGGATCCATACCAATGCCTGGAATTTGGAGAAAACATCTGTCAGAAAAATCACCTGAATTCACATCAGAGGGACCACGAAGAAAGGAAGCAGCATCAATGCATCACCTGCGGAAAGAGCTTCAGAAGCAGCCCAGCCCTTACTTCCCACCAAAGCATCCACAGAGAGGGTAAAACAAGGTTTACTCGGAGCAAGGAACCAAATTCCAAGGAAAAAAACCCCACTGGGAATAATTCATGTAAATGCCTCGAATGTGGGAAGAGCTTCCGCTCTGCAGCTCACCTCACTTTCCACAATAGGATCCATACAGGGGAAAAACCATATCACTGCACTGTGTGTGGAAAGAGCTTCACCCAACTTGGCAATTTCAATTTACATAAGAGGGTCCACACTGGAGAGAAGCCATATAAATGCACAGAGTGTGAAAAATGCTTCAAAGCCCCCGGTGCTCTTACTTGCCATATGAGGATTCACACAGGGGAGAAGCCCTATGAATGCTTGGAGTGTGGAAAAAGCTTCAATAGACTTGAAACGTTAACTAAACATAATAGGATGCATAAAGGGGAGAAACCTTATAAATGCCTGCATTGTGGAAAGAATTTCAGTCAAAAAGGTCATCTTAAGTCACACGAGAGGATCCACACAGGAGAAAAACCATTTCAATGCATGGAGTGTGGAAAGAACTTCCGTGTTTCAACAAGCCTTACTGCCCATTACAGAATCCACACAGGGGAGAAGCCCTTTCAATGCTTGCAGTGTGGAAAGTGCTTTGCCAATTCTGGTGGCTTTCATGCCCATGAACGGACCCACACAGGGGAGAAACCATACAAATGCCTGGAGTGTGGAAAGAGCTTCAGTAAACCCAGCCACCTAACTTCCCATAGAAGTATACATAGTGGAGAAAAACCATATCAGTGTACCGAATGTGGGAAGCACTTCAGTCAAACAAGTAACCTTAATACCCATAAGAGGATCCACACAGGGGAAAAGCCCTATAAGTGCACCGGATGTGGCAAATGCTTCACCGACTCAGGGGCTCTCGTTCGCCACAAATGGACCCATACTGGAGAGAAACCATTTGGATGCAAGGAATGTGGAAAAAGCTTCAGTCAAAAAAAAACTTTCATAATACATTACAGAATCCACACTGGGGAGAAACCATACAAATGCACCACATGTGGAAAGAGCTTTAGGGATCCTCAAGAGCTTGCTTCCCATGAAAGGCTCCACACTGGGGAAAAACCCTACAAATGTGTGGTATGTGGAAAGGGCTGTAGGACCACCAGTGACCTTAGTTCCCATAAGCGGATCCACACAGGTGAAAAGCCCTATCAGTGTGGTGAATGTGGAAAGTGCTTTAGTCAAAACAGTTCCCTTAATAGCCATAGAAGAATTCACTCAGGAGAAAAACCATATAAATGTATGGAGTGTGAAAAGTGCTACACAAATAGCAGTGCTCTTAATTACCATAGGAGGATACATACAGGTGAGAAATCACATAAATGAGTTGAATATAGAAAAGTAATTCGTTAGAATCAGTCACATAATATCCATAGAAAGATTCATTCATTGAAGAAGCTATTACATGTATCAAGCTTGGAAAGAGCTTTATTTAAAATATTTCCCTTATTTTTTATTTTTTTATTTTTTGCAAAACCATTTTTTCATTGGAGAAACTATGTGAACTCATAAAAGGAGCCGCTTGGAAGAGCCACATACATTATCTGTAGTGTGGAAAGAACTTCAGTAGTTCTATTTTTGATCGCAATGTCAAAATGGATAGGTGGTGGATTAGGATTAGTAAAAAATAAATTAAGAGTGAAGTAAGGGAAAGAGAAAGAATAAAATGGTCAGTCAGATGGAATTTACAGGAAATCTTTGGAAGAGCTTTAAGTTACTAGAAGAGGGCAGCCAAAATCTTGCCTTTGTAATAAGTACAATATAGCTGGGCTTAACGGAATGTAACTAAGCATATGCCCCAAATATACTGTAAACATGCAGTGAAGTATTAGAAATACCCAGATTTTTATTAAACCATTACAAAATGGAAAATAAGGGTTTCCCCCCCTTCCTAATATTTACATATGAGTTGGGTTGAGGATGCCAATTTGTATTGTTGGGAGGGGACATCTGTGCTGATTATAGGTGGACAAAAGGTACAAATGGCTACAGACATAGGTGTGAATACATTTAAATGTTTTAATTATAAACTGGAATTGATATGTGGTTCCTTCTATTGCACAGAATCCCTGGCTGGTTAGGCTAGGTCTTGGATGACCTATGATCAGTTAGTCTGAATTAAATTACTGTAATCAAATTCAAAGGTTCCCAAATTTTCTTGCTTTGTGACACAGAATTTCCACAAACTGTGTAAACAGAGTGATGTGAGTGGATGAAACTTTGACAATATTATGTACATATAAACTATACTGCACTGCTTTTTACAGTATGTCTAATAATTGCATTTTATACATTGATATTCCTTCAGAATAGTTAAGATGGTGGAATGGGCAGCCCTTCTTCTTGCACTGTAATATTCACCTTTTTCCCTTGTTAAATCCTTCAGTGATCTTCCTTTTCAGATTAAGACTAAGGATTTTCCTTTGGTTTTTGCTTCTTTGTTTAGCTAAAGTGAAGTTTTTTTTCTTTTTCACTCTGAAGACTTTAACAGCGAAAATACAAGTTTGTTACAAAGTAATGTCCTGTATATAAAGGGTGGGTGGGTGGGTGAAAAAGTATATATCTTACGTTTTATGGTGAGGAGAGGCAGTACAATACAATACTGCAAGAATATTTTTGACTGCTAAAAGTTTCCTCTCAACAAAAGTACATCTATTGTCACCACTATAACAACTAGCAGAGATTTCCCATCACTGGAAAGAGACAAGAAGTTGAGAAAGATAAAAGATTTAAAATTCATTTACTTACCATATTAATATTTTATTATACACATCTTCATTCTTAACTCGCACCTCATTGTGCTCCTCTTGGTCATATTTTTCCTTAATGCATAGCATGTGGAAGACTTAATTTGATTCTTGACAACTAGAGAGAGTGAACTGTCAAGGCCAGGCTCTAAATACAGTCCATCTATGAGGAAAAAGCAAAGTTCATACAAAGGGATTAAAACTCAAAACACAGCAAAGTGCCAGAGGTATCACAGACACCATCTTGGATCACCTCAGATCAGGGACTGTTGGTCAAGAAAGGTTTGTTAGTATCTTAATCTAAGAAGCTGGAAATACCTCGGAGAAGACAGCCTCCTCCGCCTGTATATGACAAATTTATTCTAGTGCCTGATGTCTTTGGGCAATATTTTATTTATGTATTTAAAATTGATATGCTTTATTGAAAATTTGGATGGTATTGGGATGGGGGGAGGGTTCCCTTCAGGGCCACCATTTTGCTCTCACACAGCATGTCCCGCAGTCACTTTTAACATCCCAAATCAGGGGTTGTTCTTTAAAAAAGAAAAAAAAAGTATTAGTATTGTGGAAAGTTATCACCCATCCCTCTCCCAGAAAAATGAAATATCCTAGGAAATATTGAAAAAGCAGAATATTATATTTCCCTGGATGTGAAAAGGAAGAAACTTGTTTTATAAAGACAGAATAGCTTCCTGCCCCCACCTACTTTATCAATGAGCTATTAAGAAGGCCAAGCCAGTCCCTTTACATAATAAAGAGTTCTCCCCTTCAGCTCCAGGGAGGTGGGATTAAGGCATGATAA